AATACCAAAGCTAATACAGCAAACCCTTTAGCATGTGGATAAACAAACTGTAAAGTCACTGTTGTATCAGATCTAATCTAGAAGCCCCCTTTCTGTATCATTAAGGCACTGCACAGAGATATCAGTTGCTCTTGTTTGGTCTTACACAGGTTTTTACCTAAATGATAAGGTAAATTGAGAGGGAACCTGGAGAAAAGCTGGCATCAGTGCTGACTGCAGCTCCTAGGGATCATAAAAAACTTCACCCACCGGTGCTGTTGCTGTGCACAGTTCAGAAATGTTACAATTCAACAGCAAAGGACTGAGCTATTATGTTGAATATTTTGTTAATAGCATTTTCAATGCCTTGGTTTTTTTCCAGAATTCACCAGAGTTAAGCCAACAAGAAATTCAGTGCTTGCTTTCTCATAATACTTTGAGGGAGAAACATCTGAATCTAGAAAACAAGATAATAAAATTTTACTCCTACATGTTCTTTAAGGGTATGATCCAGATCTATTGAAATTAGTGGAAAGACTCTGACTGTCTTTAAAAGGTTTAATTTATGCTTTTTAAAAGATTTTTTTAAAAAACATGTTTGTAACAACAAAGAATCAATAAAAAATAGGAAAAACTAAGCTCTCTATTGATTTCAACAGAGGGAACCACCATAAAATCCTTTATAATCTCTCTACATGTTTATTCATAAAGTATGTCATAGTGGGAACATGCTAGATGACTTCCAAATTTAAACTCGTTAGAGATACTTTAGGGGGTTCATGGTTATTATCTGTACGATCTCACCAAAGCAGATGATGTAGTATCAATAGTAATGGAATTATCAGTTAATAGATTACTATTGAATTGTCAGGACAGCAGTTTATATTCTTCTTGAGAGATAACTTAAAGTGTATTGTTCAAGAATTTTTCCAATGAAAATTAAAAACATGTGATCTCTGTTCCCAAACTGAAAGAGAAAATCCTGCAAATGCAACAACTATTACAGTACATTCAAGACATAGAGAGATTGGAAAAAAATAGTGCGTGAGCCATAGATGATCAATACAATAGCCAAAGTAATTGTGAAAAGCTGGCTTCCCCATAGTTTCATTTAAATGTACAATCAGAAACATATTTTTCCTGGTTTATCTCCCTTTTCTCTTTCTCCATCTTTTTCTCTTCTTTTCTGTCTTATCACTGAAAAAGGTGGTGAAAAGATAATAGTAGAAGAATACTAGAAATTGTTATTTTAATGCAAAAAAAAAAGGTTAAAAAATTGCAATGTTTTTAGAGAATCATTTTCTAGGAATCACTGTTTTACAAGCAGGTGTGTCACTGAGCAGGCTTTGCAGTCAAGGAATTGTAAGACACTTGGAGAAGTAGCATTATGGAAGTCACTAAGAGAAAGGATACCTTGATATATGTGCTTATACACATATGACCTGTTTAAAGACAGACCCTATGTCTTAGTCGCAACAGACAGGATTAAAAAAAGTTAAAAGAAACATTCACATCACATTAAGAAGTCATTGCCTTCCTCATGGAACATCGTAACTGATGAAGCAATTAAGTTTGAAACATTTTAAAATACTTTTGGTTAAATGCATTTGTGCTAAATGACTTCACTCTGACAAAGATCTATTCCTACTCGTAAAGACGGTACTCATCTGTACTTCATTTTCAAACAGGCTTTTTCAAGAAATGCTTCATACTGCACAGCACAAGATGATGAATATCGCTTAGAAGTTACGACTCCTTTGCAGAGGGTTGACTTGTTCATGGGCCAGTTCAACAGTGTCCTGTTAACTTCAATATCGGTCTTCACCAAAGGGAACCTTACTGTTGCTAATCTGGGAACTTCGGAGGGCCGCTTCATGCAGGTAAATATTACAACGACACCTTCACAATAAAAAAACATACTGGAGTTTAGCAGGATGGTGAAAAGTGAGGAGCAGTATTACCCCAGTTTAACAGGGCAATAGAAAATTGAAAATCGCTGAGTGAAATAGAGCTTCTGGAATATGAACAAAGTGCCTAATAGAGCATTCAGTGTTTTAAGTGTTTACATGGGCTTTGTGTTTTGGAGCAGTGGTTTTGGAGCAAATTCTGCCATGATCCCCACTTAGTCCAGCTGGCTTAGTTGACAGAGCAGTTTTGGTCCATGCAAACTAGATTTCATTCAAAGGAAACTAAACTGAAAGCTCTGTCTTGGATACACATCAAATATGCTTCAACCCCAGCCGGGACAGAGAGGTCCAAAACAGTGACTGATTCTTCAAACAGCTTCAGATACACACTTCATATGGTCATTTGGTCTAGAGGATCACATTAAGCCTAGTTCAATGTAAAATACTAAGACAGCTTATAATGTAGAAGCATGAGCCTCAGCATTAGTTGTTTCTATACACTGATCCACCCCTCTGGCACCACATTACTTGCTAATGTACCCATAGCCTATGACTCACAGCTGTAGAATTGAGATTAGCTCCTCCTCCACCTACTTTCAAGTTTCTCTGAGTGCATCTTAGATTTCTGGGCTCTTGCTCATTCCTGTCTCACTCTGTTCTTTTGGACAGCAATTCTTCCTGTCCTAAAACAGGTTTTCCATAATAAGTGGTAAATCACCCTCTTGAGAAGTCTGTCGCCCTCCACTGAGTACATAACTAAGCTAGACAGGTAGATTATACTACATGACTTCTTTGTAGGTGACTAACAAAATAAATCTAACCCATAGAGCCAGCGGTCTTTTACAAACTTGGCAATCAATATCAAACATCAGAAGACAAAATACTTTGAAAGCACCAAGGGCTCCCTCTATTCACCCATCTTATTTCAAGCACTGTCATCCTGCAGTGACCACCTTGGAGAGCCTGGCTTCTCCAGCAGCCACAGAGTCCAGCCTGGATGTACATCTCAGCCTGGATCCCTCTTGCACCCAAGGACCTATGTCCTTTTACTCTGCCAGTATTACTTGTCTTCTAGTGGACTTCCTGATGTATTGGCAGTCTTTGGCCCTTCTTGCTCTGTAGGCTGTAGAGAATCATCAAAGTTGGTAGTGTTGTCCCCCAGCCATCATTAACTGAAACCTGATGAGAAGGCCATCAGTTGCTGTGCCCTTTCAGTTTTCCCATTTCCTGTAACCTTCCATTAGAAAATACTTGAGCACATGTAACTTTTCATAAAAACAAGCCTTCCCTTTCTTCTCTCCCCCTTATTCTCTGTCCTTACTGCATGCAGTAAGTAGGGTTACATATTGTCCCCATTATATGGGGGCATATGTGGACAAAGGGAATGCTATACCCCAACTTCTATCCTCTGGACAGACTGGACACAGAACCTGCCCCATAATGCAAAATCCATAATGCTCCTACAGGGAAGGAGATCAAAGTGATTTACTACAAAGGACAGATGAAAAACTGGAGAAAAACATGTTTCTCTTTCCCCTTAAAAGACAGAAATTTAACAGAACGTTCAATGACAATCCTGCCAGTTTTACCTGAACTCCCATGATGACCTTGGTAGCTTTAAGCTGCAGTTTGTCTTCAGCACAGGAAAGGCAAATGCTAAAAGCTACACTCTGAGCACAGGACCAACCTACACTCTGTTCTTAAATGTAGATACTGGTTTACACAGCGAACATGAGCAATTTGTTTAACCTTTCTGAAGCCATTTCCTTATCTACCAAATACAGTTAATAACGACTGTTGTACTAACAGCATTTCTTCTGGGCTGTCACAAAGCTTTTAGGGAGGTTTGGTGGAAAGCACGAGGCAGCATTATTTTTATTTGTAACATTCTTTAAATTATTCATTCAAGTCCTGCACCACACACTTCATTCAGACATTTGCCCAACTCAAGGAACAATTAAAATATTTCCAGAATACATTTCCCATTCCAGGTTCAGTTACAGATCAAAAGCAAGCCTATTGTGTAAACTGCACATTGCCATTAAGAGAAAATATTCTCATCATTGAATTAGATTGGCTGGAGCTACAGGGGGAAGTCAGCATTGGGCTCGTATTGTAATAAGTAGGAGTTCTTTCTTTGAGGGTTTGGTGCAACCAGCAGGAGAATAAGCATACTGACTACCTGTAAACACTGCCTCCGAATAAAAAGTTTCATATTTGTTTTGCCTTTAAATGATCTTGGAAGGGATACTAGGTCTGTAGGATATAGCAGACACAGCTTCTTGCAGAATTTAATGTTCACTTACATTAAATCTTTTTTTTTTTTTCCACTAATGTTATCTAGGAAGTGCTTTCAAATATGTTCATTAGCAAATGCCCAACTAAAGCAGATTTGCAGTGTTTCTATGGAAATATAGCTATTAACTGCAATGAGATGGAGATCATTAAAAATTGAGCTATTAAATGACCATTACTGAAGTAAAATGGGTTAAAAAAATCAGGATAATCTAACAATTGCTTAATTTATCAAAAATATATCTCCAAACACTTCCCCACGTTTTTTAGCAAAGAAATGTAATGATGTTCTTTTTTTTTTTTCCATTCACAAATCTGCTGGAACATATTGCAAAGAATCCTCAGTTTTTCACTTACTACTCAACTCACTTTTGCACAGTCATTTGCACTCATATTTGTAGCTCTTTGGACATGCAAATATTGAATTTTCCTGTGCAAACCTCTTGTAACTTGTAGTTATTCAAGCTGACTATATCCCTTCAGAGACAGGTATGCTTTCAGAGAAAATTAGTTGCAAAATTCTACCTATCAGAGAACCTGGTTTAAAACTGTTTATGTTGTATTAATATCTTGTGAGCATATTTTCATGCCAATTATTTAAAAGCAAAAGAAAAAAAATATTCATATACAGGTTTCTAAAATTAGAAAATCAGCTCAGCCCTTCAAGTGAATCCAGTTCATCTTGTATCCTCTCTGAAATACCAAGTCTTACCATATTTAGACAATTTGTGACATAAATTTCAGCACTAGCAGTCATCTGTGAGATTAAAAGAAATAGTACTACAGTACCTCTGTCTCTAACAACCGCACCCTGAAGTGCCCAAATATGAAACAGCTTTGTGAAAGTAATGAACATTTAATTCACATTTTTTCTGTATTAATTTAGAGTTTCCTTTAATTGTTATGAAACATTTTGTGGGGAAAAAGACAGATGTTTAAAACATAGTGATCATGTCGCCTAAATTGAATTGAAGCTCCAAGCCTATGCTGTGGAAGCCAGTAGGTGCAGCAGAAAGTGACTGATACTCAACCTGAGAGAAATTTATTTGAAAATGTTTCCCATATTCTTCCATTATACTTGATCAGCAGCCAACCATTCTCCTTCTTTTCTTTTTTTCATTTTTCTTGCCATCTTTCCATCTCCTTTTGCATTTCTTCTGCTCATCATCTTCTGCTTTCCTACCGCCCTCTCATCTCTAGCTCTATTTCCATCTCCATCCATTTTTCTCTTTTTAGCACATGCCTATAGCATAGCATTGGTGCAAAAGTCAACAGAAGGTTTAACATGTAGTTTCTGAGAACAAAGTTTTTCCTTCTGTAGACGATGGCTACCAGATTCTGGGGTTTTGGTGTATTCAGAGACATATCACAATGAATAGTTCCTATCTTGACAAGTGATTCCGCTGAAGCTTATAGCATTACCCATCAAAACTGTACCAATGATCCAATTCAGAATATAGCCTGTGTTTTGCTTATTTAAAAACAGTCATGTGAGGAGCAAATAAAATTCAGAATGCAAAAGCAGGCATGTTTTATCCAACCAAGGAATAGTCACCTATTGTTTTCTGCTTGTGCTTTTAGTTCAATTAAGTAGAATTATTCACTTAAACATCTCTGGAAAGCACTAATACTAATAGGAAAGGAAATACAGCCTCCTTCACTAACTGTTTATTTTTTTCAGCCAAAATCTAAAACTAAAATAAAATCGATCTGGTTGGTCCACATACAGAAGATTCATGAGTTCTTTTAAGGAGGATAATTGGGGCCAGGAGGTGAATTCCAAAGCTCTCCTGGAGAGTAATTGCAGCCCATTGACATACTGAGCATGTTTTGGCTGCAACAGAAATGTTAAAATCTGTATTTGGCCATGAATAGATTGGAGTTTGTAGTTTACCAAATATTGTGGAGTTTCTGTTACAAAACAGAGCAGTAATAATTTTTCTAAGACAGCTGACATGCATGAGACGGAAAAGAAAAATGGTTTTACTTCCTTCCTAAGCTGGAGCCTGACAACAAGCTTTTTTTTTCCCCTTCTTTTTTTTTGCTGTTGAAAAGTTGCAGCTGTTTCGGCCTTTCTTATTGTGCTTGTTTTCAGAGTGTGACTGGGAACACAGACTGAAAGTACAGCTGTTGGGTGCAAAGTGAATCAGGTATTTCACAGTGGTTATTTGATTAGAAAACAGCACCCAGTCACAATGCTATAGTTGAGGAATCAGATTTTCAGCTGGTGTAAAGCAGCCTTACTCTGCTCAAACCAAGGAAGCTACCCCGAGAGTACGACTTACAACTGGAAAAGACACTTTTATTACCAGCCAGTATTTTGGGAAATTGTTGTTTATCAACCCCACACCCCGCTCCATGATACATTGAGATAACATATCTTCTATTTTTGCTCAGTTCCAAGGTGATCTTTTTTTTCTGCCTGCAGTTTGGTATTATGTCAGAGAGTGACTTTTGAGTGATGAAGAAAGGAGCAAAGTTCTTCAGGAAGGGGAAATCTTTCTGATAGCTCTGGGGAGAGTGGGATATGGGAAAGTTTTACAAGATTTATTCCGAAAAGCTCACATTTGGTCTGGCCTTAGCAGTGAACAAGAGACTGATGCCTTTGACGTATGCAGAGGCTGGCTTTTGGCATAACACTATGTTTGGAAGCAGAATACTGCGTGTGCTCCCTATGC